TAAAGTTCATTTAAAATTCAAGCTCTTTAAAAATTAGAATTCAAACTTTAAGCTGCTTAATCCAAGCTTGATGACCTTCATGTAGGATTAAAGCTTTAAGCTGCTTACAAAGTTAATTTCATGCAACCTTTAATATGATATTACCTCACGCTAAGTTTGCATGTGCTTTTAAAGGCCACTGTTAATCTCTCGAAAATCATCCATCAAAAATGTGTTGAGCTGAAATCTCGAACCCATTAAGTGTGCTACAGGCCTTAATGTGCTTTCAAAGCTAGTCATGCATGAAATTATGCAAAAGTATATATTAAAAACAAATATAACCGGAAAATCGAGCAATTTATTATATATATACATTTATATTTTTCTCTTTTGATTTTCCTTCTGTTGTTGTTCGCGCGATGAAAAGCTGACAAATTTGGCGTGGCAATTGTTTCACATGGTTGGTGGCATGCGGCGACAAGGTAAGTCATAACAGTGTCACGACTTGACAAGAGCTATATATGTACTATATACATGGCGACTGGGCGACTGCGGTTACAGCAACAACAACTACAACAATCACATAAAAGCCGCAGCAGAGAACAAGAGACGTGTAAAGCGAAATCACACGCGGGCCAACAAAACCAGCGCCAAATAATGTATGGAGGTGGCCAAGAAGAAGAGGAAGAGCTGAACTTTGAGGTATGGTGACACACACACACACATACACACGTGCACTCCTACACACACAGAGTCATGTTGTTCGCGCAGGACATGGGACACAAAGGCACATTAAGGATTATTTATTGGACGTTATTTTTCAGGCGGCATTAAAATTTTTGGATTTTTTTTTCTGCTCCTGCTGTTCTTTTTTTTTTTTTCGTTACAATATGAATTATATTTCACTTGTGTCATAAACCGCGTAAAAAATGCGCTTCCAACAGCTTGACAAAAAGGCAGCAGCAAAAGAAGAAGAAGTGAGCTGCAAAATGTGGATGTAGCAAACTTAAAAACATAAACTGATTCACGTCTATAAAATATTTAATATGCTGACATGAACTTTGATGCCTTACACGAGCAGTACGAGCGATATATTGCACTGATTTTAGTGCTGTGCTGCAGGTGTGTCTATGTGTGTGTGAGTGTGCGTTATCGATTGCTCTCGATAAATTTGCATGAATGCTGGGTTTAGACTGCTCTACTGCCTTTGGGAATATTAAAGAAATTTTAGAATACTTCATAATAAATTTTATTTTACAATACATTGATTTGATGTTATCGATATTTTTATTTATTTTATTTTGTTTTTTTTTTTTTTAATTTATTAATGTTTATATTCGTAATCGTCTATCCATACTGTTTGATCTTTACTGTTTTATTATAAATGATTCACTTCATACATACCAAAAGTTTAGGATCAGCTATGTATATCTATCTATTATTAGTATTATTAGCGATAAGCTGAGGGCATGACTAAGAACTTTGGCAACTAGTTTCAATGTTCTTTTCACAAAAGCAAACTTCCCGTTCGTCCTTTAGCATTTCTTAAGCGTTTCACTTCGCCGTGAAACTTTCATAAGCCATCGAAGTGTAGGAAAACATTTCGTTTTTTTTTAAGTTTACATTTTACTCTCCTTTTTTTTCTCTTTCTCTGTTATTGCTAAAGTTAAGATAATTTTGTTTGCTTGAAGGACTCGTTAAAATCGTAAAATTCATAAACTTGCACAGCTTGATTTATTGGACTTGCCGTTCAGTTAGCCGCCTGGACGATGTATTCACTGTAGGTCAAGTGCGCTGGGTCATTAAAGAGTCGTATGGTGCGATAAAAAATGCAATTAGCTTGTACACACACCAACAGCAACACACACGCACACATACACATACAATGTAACATACGTAATTAGCCGCATATTTAACTTTGGTCCGGTGGTTCATAAAACTTTCAATGTGGTTCAAATTAGTGGCACAATTTGTTGTTGTTGTTGTTGTTCTTCTTCTTGTTTTGTATATTTTTTTATTGCTCAGCTGTTGCTGTTGTTGTTTTGCTGTTTGTTGTTTTTATGGCTGAAGTATGTTAATATCCTTGTCAGAGACTTGCAGCTGCTGCAAGGATAACTCAAAAGTCTGGGCTACTTTTTGTGCCCATTTGAGCCCAATTGAAAGTGATTTTAATCGGGTATATTAGTTTTCTGACGTGGAATGTCAAGATGTAAAGCAGAGTCAATGCAGTTATATGCAATACCTTGCCCATTCCATTTGTTTGGTTGTCTATCTATCGCTCCTTCTGCTAGACCTTTAACTGCCTGTGCCTCTGTCTATATGTGTTTCCATTTATCGCTCCATCCTCTTATCATCTTAGATCTATTCCAAGGTGCGTCCGTCTCACTATTTTTTCGTTCGCTTGCCCATTTCTGGTAATTTCATTTGACTGTCCCTCCGTCTTATCTATCTATCCTTTCGTCCATATACCCATTCGTCTTTCTCCGAAACGGCTTGACACGTAACTTCTCTTATAGACTAGATAGAATTGTCTTCAAATAATCGATAGCTTGTAAAAATTTCTAATTTATTCATATTCATTTTTAAAATTCACTCATCAGAGCATATTCCAAGTCCTTAGCTCATTATATATTGTAGACAGATAGATTATACCACAAGTAAACCATATCGAATGCTCCATTTGTTGACTACCTCTTCGCTTACAGCTTCTCAAAAAATTAGGATACTTGATATATCAGCTCGACTCGGGTGTTAAGAGTATTCCTACTCCTACTCCTCTCACTTGTTTAACTTTCAGAGATGCCGTCAACGCGTCGTATGCGTAATCTGTGCAAATCTAAGCAACAAAACTCGACACTGTTTACAAAAAGCTTATCAATCAATTCTGGCTAGCAGCAACAGCAGCAGCAGCAGCGGCAGCTGAAGCAGCAGCAGTCGCATCAGCCTAGCGCAGCCAGCGAGGGGAACGTCTTCTAGCTCACAGAGGTCATAAAAAAGCAGCAGAGCAAAAACTTTGGCGCCGCGACCGACAGACGCCAGGCATATCCTGCAACCCTTAAAGTCTAAGAGTGACGAGCGAGAACAAAAAAAGAACGAAGCAAATTGCAGTTGAGCATAGCCGACGGCATGATGCGCGTTCGTGGTGCGAGAAAGTTGAAGGGTGAGAAAGTGTGGGGGCATCGTCAAAGAATCTAAGTGTGAAGAGGTATATATAGGTAGCCTCTCGATACTTATCTGAGGAGGGAGTTGGCCCCTTGACCTTCCTCCTTAGATATACCCATTCATACTTAGGCTTATTGTCTATAAATCGAAGTGAAGGTTAATGACAGGCCACCATTTAGTCAAATATGAAAGCCATGATGGATATATCCAATTGTAACGCATTCTTCTTCTTACCAGAGAGATCCATAAGCATTTGGTCTACGGAACTTGATTTAGTTTGAAGTACAAGTAAATTGTAGTCGATACATATATTGAAAGAGAAAGTCGAGAGATTCCTTAAATAGTTCTTAGAGAAGGCTTAGGATTAATTTGAAAGGCTCTCTGGGAAATATAGTTATTACGCGACTTCCTTTACTCCCAGTAAAATCTTCATATGCTTTGTGGAGAAATACAATTGGCAGCCGCAAGAGATAAAGTCTTATTCCATTTGTCATGCCTCAATTCTCCAACCCTTATTCCTACCTTGGACCAATTCCAATGCCTCTAGCTAGACACATATGGCAGAACAACCAATATACTCTCCTTCTACCCAATGTGAACGCGAACAGAACAAGAACTTGGACAATAAAAATTGCTAAAGTCAGCTGTGGCAGACGAAAAGGGAGAGGGGGAGGGGGGTAGGGAGAGGGACAGCAGCTATGAGAGGGCGAGGACGATACAATGATAATGCCAAGCATAATAACAGCCAAAACGGCGTCATCATAGCAACAACAACAATAACAATAATAGAAAGCGGGAGACAGAGAAGGAGAGAGAGAGAGAGAGCGGGATAGATAGTGAATGAGAGAGAGGGACGGTGGATGCTCGCTTGACTTTACCAATTTTTTGGCCACAATGGGAATTGTCGCCGAAATCCTGCGAGCGCGTCCTTTAGCCCGTGCCGCGCTGCCATTGTCCTTATGCGTGGCATTTTGCGATAAACACGATGTGATAACATTTTACTATATATATAAATATATATATATTTATANATTTTATTTCCATTATCTTCAAAGCTAGAGTCGCCTAATTTTATATGTTAATTCATATTCTAGAATTTCGATTTTTGTAATATTCACCCCCATCCCATTCAAATACTAGAGAGTTGTGCTTTTGCCCACATACACACTTTAATTTTATAATCACAATCTAAAAGTTTCATGAAGGAAGTACATCCACAAGAAAAATTATCGAGCAATTAATTTCCCATAGTAAGCCGACACTGCAGCCCGTGCGTGTGTATGCATACGAGACTAAATGTGTCTGAAAGTGTGTAAATATATATATATTTATATGTAAGTGTGTAAGTGTGTGTGTGTGTGTGTGGTTGCTATTTGGGGCGTGCTGCTGCAAATATGAGTGAGCGTGTGATCAATAGCTTAAATTGTGAATGGCATGAACACAATATATATTACAGCAATATATATATATATATCTGCTATAAATATATGCATATATATATATATGTATATATATGTGTGGCTTATGCATGCCAAATAAGCCCGCATGAAAATAGTATATATGCATATAATATGTGGCAACAGTATATATTAACTATATATTGATTGTATTTAGTTTACTAGCGTTGGAAAGTTGAGATGAAAGTAGAAGTGAAGATATTGAATATAATTAAATAACTTCATATATTATACATCAAGCACAGCATTATTTTCATGACGACTATAATCCAAAAAGTAAATAGACATCTTTTAAATTTATTATTAATATTACWGGTTTGCTCAAAAACAATAACTCAGTAGCTATGTATAACATTTTCTATAATAAAAAAATTATGAGAAATTATAATATAAAGTTTTATATTTGAGTAAAATGTTTTGATTTTTTAAAAAATATTGAGAAGGTAAAAGGTTAAATATATGTATATACATCTAAGTATTGAAAAATTTATAATAAGCACAATTCCAGGGCTTCACAAAAAGTACCGCAAATGTTGTCTAAAATCATTTTGATTTTCTTGTGATATTATTTTAATTCCCGTATCCCTTACTTATATTCTCCAGCTTATGAGCTTATGAGCTTCGACGTAATTTCGAGATTGCAAAAAGATAGAATGGAGGAAAAAATCCCTTTGAAATTGTTATCCAAAAACAAGACCCTAACAATGCGGCAGCCATCGAAAACGATGGAGAATCTCCCCAAGCAGCGCTTTGTCACATTTGCCTGTTCCATGAAAGGACGACGCTACGTTACGATTGAGGAGATAAATACGACGCCGAGGCCAAAGCTGCACAAAATAACAAAAAAAGATTATTTAAAGCCTCCCGAGCATTGGGAAAAACTTGCACTCAAATGTATAAAACTATAATAATATATCAATAATAATAGGATAATAATAATAATATAACATTAAGATATTTCGTATATATTTTGAGCAGCCCTCGTAAGCATATTCTTATGTGTGCTCATGCCGAAAGTATTTCTCGGAACATGGTCTATTTCATAATATTAGCTATAGTTTTTTTTTTTTTTTTTTTTAAATAGGCAAGTTCATTGGAATTTCCCTTTATTAAATTCCCATCCCTAGCAATATTTTGTTTGCCTCACGCTCATCTCTAACAATCGCCTCACTTTTCATTTATGAGAAAATATTTTGTTTTGCTTTGTTTTGATTGCGTGTGTGTAGGTGGATGTGTGTGTAGATGTGGGTGTGTGCGTGTGTGTGTCTTTGATTTCTTTTTTGTATGCAATGCTTTAAGCATTTTATTTGGTTTGAAAATCTTACAGCTTGTTCTGCCGCTGTTTCTACTACTTCCTCAGATTGTTGCCGCCTTGTTATATACATATATAAGAAATGTATGTATATATGTGTGTGTGTGTGTGGGCGCTCTTAAAGTTGCACATTCAAGCAAACTACAAGCAGGCAAATATAACATACATATATATATATGTATGTCTATATGTATATATATTTGTATATACTTTTGAAGAAAGCGCTGTTGAAGGAGCAACATAATTTGAAGCATCCTTGAAGCGTAAGTTTCTTTACAAGTTGCCATAAACAAGTATATATATGAAATATATATATGTAATTCCTTCTTTTTTTCAACTCAACTCAACTCAACTCGACTTGTTTCGTCTCGTCTCGTCTCGAGCTGTGCGCGCTTCAAATAAAATCAACATAATTTTATTTTTGCCGTGGCTTCTATTTAATGCTAGCACATTTCAAATGTTGCCCGTCCGCAAGTTGACAACAAATTTTTGCTACTGCAGCTTCAAAGTCTGGATTGTGGTTTCCCTGTTATGCTCGTTTGTGTTGGAGGTGGGAAAGAAGAGAAAGAGAAGAAAGAGGTAAAACAGTCTATATATAGCGTATGTAGGCAATGACTGCTAGTTACTGGAATTTGATATAGGCTAATGGTATGATTTTATTTTCTATTAGATTTTTCAGTTATAATTTTCAAGAGGTGTTTAAGTCTTTTGTACAAGTCATACAGTAAAAAGACTTATAAAAAATGATATCTATTTTATATAAATATTAGTTAATCTGCTTATTCAGTTGGGCTTTTTTTTATAAGAGCTGGACTTTCCTGACTGGTTCGTCTCTATATGAACTTGACAGTCATAACTGCTTCATTTCTATATGAATCTTATTCAATCTGAATCTGATTCATTTGTATAAGAGCTTGGCAGAGCAGTACTCTATTTAAATATATATTTATAATTCT